AAAATTATTTATATTAATGATGTCTCCGAAGTTCAACGAAGTTTTCGCAGAAAAATAAGTCATCAGAAAACTTTCGTCATTGCTAATGCTTGTTTTCGTCGCGGAGCGTCCCTCCGCGACGAAAACAAGCATTAGCAATGGCGGTGGACACTCGGTAAGTAATCCTACAATTTTTTGTTTATAGCGTAGTTTATACGGATTATTCCCAAAAAATATATACGTATTTTTGAAATGTTGAGTCAGATTAGTCTAGAATCGATTAATTTTATGGAAGAAAATCTTTCAAACAGCCGTAATCCGTAAACTTGACACGTGTCGGGTTGTGATTGGAAGGATTCGTAAGAAATCGGATTCCTAAAGAATGGAACGTATCTATATCTTATAGGGGGGGTCGACTGTATTTACATACGTTGTACATAAATTCTTATGATAAAACTAAGGGCATGTCGCCTGATAAAGCATTTTTAATAGAGCTAGATAAAAAAAGCCAAAGACATGGCCCATTTTATTTGCTTATCCAATTTACTATGAAAGCACTCTGAATATGCTATTCGGAAACGTACAGTACACGAAAAGTTATTATTTATACTTTCCCGACTCTGTTCTACATAACAGAGGGAAAGTATGGCAATCGGTCAAAAAATGACCCCAAAAATGTTTACATTTTTGGACTCCGGGAACCCTAAAACGTCGAGAAATGCAAACATTCGGTTTTTTTTCGTATATGTATGGATATTAGTGTGTTTGGGGAAACGATTTTTTTCACCCTCTTTGAAGCTTAACAACTCCTATCTTTTGTCAAAAATTCTGATATTTTGCATGGAGGTTTGTGTATCAGCGTAATTGATGCTATTAAAGTTTGGTGGTTAAAGATCGAGTGGGTGGGGAGATAAAAGGGATCGTGTGTCATATCTCGACTAGGGTCGGACTTAGCCTAATGACGATTTTACACGCTATTAGTATTTACAGTTTAAATAAAACCCAAGCTTACTCTCAAAATTAAGCTTTTTGCCATTTTATAATAATAAAAAAAAAGANATCTGAAGTATAATTTTTTTATTGTTTTTATATTTTTCAATATATTTATTTTGTTTGTACAAATTAAAGAAATAATTTTTAACAATACAATAGTCACGATTATTATTTTAAAAAGTTTACGTTAGGCTTAAAATCGACGAAAATTCAACGCAGAGACACGCAACGGATAAAAATTTCAGGATGGGATAGGTTAATATATTTTTTCGTACATAATCGGTTATCCGAAAAATAAGTTATCCGAACAACCCAGTCCCCAATTGATTCGGATAAACGACGCTCTACTGTATAATGTTTTACTATATCGCCCAGAAAATTGTTTTTTGCCCCAAAATATAAATTGTTACTAATCGCCCCCTCAACATGGAAAAACGCTCACATGGGAGCGATATATCCCCCGTTGAGAAACACAGATCTATATTGTGATTAAGGTCAGCGACTATGCCGTGGTGCTATCTCTCTCGAGTCTCGACCGTTTCAATCTCGACTGAAATGAGGTTCAATCGCGATCGACTCAAGAGAGTTCTTGAAACTAGATCCAGTCATAAGAGAGATCCCACAATCCCACGCGTGCGAGAAAATACAAAATGGCTACGGAACACGTGTCGGCCTATCAACAGAGAAATAAAAAAGACATCTGGAGAGACGATGACATTTGTTTATTATTAGATATATGGCAAGAAAAAGTATTTATTTCTAACCAAAACTTCCATTTTGTTTGTTGATGTTCGTGACTAACCAGATAGTTATGTCAGTTTTATCATCGCGTATAATAGCCAGGTTCTCAAGTGGACTTGCCTGTGCGACGTGATGACATCAGAATTTTCGGGTCTCTTTCGGTAACAAGTCCGCCCCTGGTCGGAGTCGGTAGATTTTTACGCGACTCTACAGCCCTGCTGGAAACTAGTTTAAAAATAGTTTCATTTGTTGTTAATAGTTGATTTCGCNTGCTATTGAATTTTAAATTAAATATTCTCTACATTTTACATACCTTCTTCCATTAGATCTTTTAATTTTCGTACTTTGGAAGCAATTCCAGACTTCCTGTAGATACCTTCTGTATACAATCCTTTTAATTCTATTACTGTTATTAATCGTTCAACAACAATAGGAATTCTAATCTCAGATGATACTAGATATTCTAATGGAGCACCAAAAACACGCTTCTCCTAATTAAAATTAAAATTCTTTATTTTATTTCACTTATTTAATTTTATTAGATAATTATAAAAAATTTCTTACATGTTGGCTGAGGCAATTCTTACAATATACATTAACTTTAGTGTAACACTTTTTATGACAGGTCAATTTACATCCTGGATAAAAAAAACGACAATGTATTTAATAATTTTATCAAAATTTTAATATTTTTATGAAATTATTGAATTTTATATGTAATTATTATTATTATTTACCTTGACAGACTAATCCCTTCTCCATTAACCACATAAAAGAAGAACATATTTCGCAAGCAGTAGGAATGTTTATAACAACAGCCATGAATTTATGACCCATATATTCCTAAAGATAGATATTAAAATTTTTAACACATGTTTGTGTGTTATTTAACATATTATTATATTAATTTTCTTAATAATATAACTTAAAATTGAAGTAAAATTTGTTTATTTTTGGTTCTACGTTCCCCTTTCCCTATTTACTCTATATTAAAATGACACTGTTTTGTTTAGAACTTTGTCATCTAGGAACTTATCCCCCACATTAAGTGAGGTATTACTGTACTTTAGTAGGTTTAGTAGGTCAATGGAATAGCATAGGGATTTAACTTCTCCAACTTGAATTTCTTAACTTGAATTTCTTAACTTGAATTTTCTCCAAGTCAATGTTTTTCATGGTTCTGACTCTGATTTATGTTACGTTCAACTTCCCTGACTTGAATTTTAATACTCATTCTATTCAAACTGATCCTAATTATTGAATTTCCTTGAAATTTTTAGACAGTTGTATCTAGTATCCAACACCAATTTTCAGACAATGTTCCAGTTCAAAAAAAGCAAGACGACCTCCTCTTGTTTAACAAGAGCAAGACTGTTTAATTCCATTAGTTACATTGAACATTTTGTTGAAAGGTGTTACACAGGCTGTTTAAGACAAAAACAACCACTATCAAAGATTCTTTATATAATGCAAGAGGTAAAAATACAAATCTATTTAAAATCATCATTTTTTATTCTATTGTTCTCCAACTTGAAGCGTCTGTTACTCAAAGTTTTTTCCTACCCCTCAGAGTATCGAGTTAGGAAAGTTTTATTGTATGTAAGTACATATAAAATTAGAATCACATTTACTAATTTAATTTTTCAATATCAAGTAAGTACTATACTACCAAATTACAATTATTTGAAGAAATATACTTATACTCACTGATAATTCCATTTTCTTTCGTTTTCTTTTCTTCCCCTTTAAATGAAATAATATAGTTTAGTTTTGATAAAAAGTATTTACATGGATAATATATAACATAATATTTACTTTAGATTTAATTTTTTCTTCATTCCTATATAAATTTCTAAATTCATCTAGAAAGCCACGGAATGCATTTACACCCATAATTACAGGGAATGTTTGACTAGTGTTTTCTTGATGACAAACACTTTGCATAACTTGCTCAAAATTATCTATTAGATCTTTATAGCAAATACATAAACGGCCATCCTTGATGTGTCAAAGAAAAATTAATCAATCATTTAATTATTATAAATATACACAAGAATATAAATTTTATGATCAATAAACTTCTTACTTGTGCTGCAGCTACAGAATATGTACTTATAAGATTGAACTTAAATTCTCTTAAAGATCTTTTAAAAACAACATCAACTAGACAATCTTTCTGTTCATTATTTCCACTCATTTGACACAACTAGAAAAAAAAATTTACAGATTTATGTTATTTTAACAAATTATTATCTATGAAATTTTATATTAATATGTTTGAGCTTGAATTTGTTATGAATCTCAAAATTTAGTTCAAGTATAGTACAGTCGACCCCCCTATAAAACTGTTGATTTTCCCGTTTTATATAAATTCCATGTTGTAAGAGTCACTTAGATTTTAAATATATGTGAGCCGTTCACAACCCGGCACACGTATTTGTAAAATCTAAGTGACTCGTACAACATGGAATTCATATAAAACAGAAAAATCAACAGTGTTATAAGGGGGGGGTCGCCTGTATTACACCATACCCGGCAATGCTAGGCTGTACCGGGAATGTACTAATTATAGTATCTAATAAACGATATTGATTGTATTACACTATATGCCTCAAATCTGTAACAAGTATTTACAAGTCATATTTCAGTTTGTTTATTTTTATTAAATCAGTATTTTACATTAATTTCCATCATCTTATATACACTATTATTGCATTATCATTATTACTGTATAAAAATAATAAATAGAAAATAAATAACTAAACCTTTTTAAAGATGAAATCATCCATATTTTGCAATTCTGATACATCTGTAACAATAATATCCCTTGGATCACGAAATTCTGATGTGCGAGTTACATTCCAAGAAGTTATTGGCAACTGTTCCGTTTTATTATTTTTGTTTAATTTGCTAGGTGTGCGTCTTACTCGATTAACATTGTCACAAGAAACACGACTTGATTGTGAAATACATTTTGAATGAAATAAATGCTTACATCCTGAATATGAAAATTTAATAGTGAAAAATTAAATAAAACAATTTAATACTGAAATATTAGTAATTTTGCATACTTACTTGTACATTTATAACCATGAGAAAAAAGTAAAGTCATACTTTTTTCACATCCTGTGCAAATTTCACCTTTGTGGAAGGAAGTAACAGTTTTCATACGATGCCTAAATCTGTTATCAGTACGATGTAACTGTTTTTTTGATGGTAATGTTGAAACATTTGTTAGATTTTCAGTATTTCCTGAAAGTTTTTTAAAATTAATAAACTATTATGACAGCACGGTAATTTCTATATGAGGCATTAGTGCCATGAAATTTTGGTGGGTAAAGTCAACGGAATGGAGAGATAAGTGGGGATCGTGTGTCCTACCTCGAGTGAGGCCGAACTTAATAAAGACTTTACTAGTTGGCGCCAAACACGCAATTTTCAATGTTGCCGGGAAAGTTAAGCAACTGGTTACTGGATTTTTTAAAGTTGTAATCGAACCTTACAAATATTGAAGACACGTGAATTGCGTTCCGATCAGTGGATGTAACAGGATCCATAATTCTAATCAGAATCTTCTTAAAACTGGAAAGTAGAAAAATTTTCTTATGGTAATTACAACGGCCGTTTAGTAATAAAGTGGAATATGCGAATGTGGCCGTGTGCATGGCAGTGAACGACATTAAAAATCTCAAACTACTTTTGGATCAATTAGAGGAAAAACAGGACGGAAATCAGTTCATAAAAACAGGAATCCCTCGAGGGTCGTTAACGGGAGATTTATTTGGAAATTATCGACGATGGGTGATTTATAACACGATTAAAATGAAGTAGATTCGACGGGCTCATTTTTTTAAAAAAATGAATGAATGAAGTTAGATTGAGTTACTCTATTATATATAATTATCCGAATTTAATCTATATTAACTGTGCTTATAAATTAAACGAAATGATCGCTTTAAATCTAATTAAAAATGATAGAAATATATTTCTTAAAAATTAAAAATTTGTGATTAAATAATCGAAAAGAAATAGACTATTATTGCTAAATTATGAAATTCTAGAATCTTCTTTACAGTTAATAACGCTATATTTTAACAGTTTTATCGGCTTTTGTAATATAAAATTTTGATTAATGATCAACTGTTACAAAATAAGGCTGCCGGTAATTTAAATTTTATCGATGAAACTCTGAATTGTACTTTTTTAAATAAAATAATAAGTAATTTAAAATATTAATTTTAAATAATATTGTCATCACTTATAAAAACAAAAAAAATTTATGTCTTTTAATTTGACGATTAGTGAAATTAAAAACGGATCCAAGCGTAACGTTACTAATTGGTGCAAAATCGAATAATATAGCGCAAAAGAACGTTACGTGAGGTATTTTATAAATAAATTGGCTAATTGGCGCAGAGTTAACTGGTAGAATTCTTTCAAATAATGTATACCATAATCTCGTCTTCTCAATAAAATATTATAGAAAAACTAGCAGGTAGGCCCGGCGTTGCTTGGGCAAAAGTAACGATAGCAAAGATTAAGATTATTACATTATAGTCAACCTTACTCGTTTTCACAGAATGCAAGGATTAGGTCCCCCTGTTTCCAGACCAATTAGAGAATTTTTAGATGGGTCTAAAAATATGTTCGATTTCCCGCAAAACAAAAAAAACTGCATCTGCCTCTTGCACGTCGCTTTCTCTTAACAATTCCATTGTTGATGGAAGTGTTAAGCCTTAATCATGTCTCTCTCCCCCGTAGGGAGGAATTTCGAAAAGTCCCTTCTTCGTGTGCGTTCTCGTGACGTACCCTAACTGTGTCCCAAATTTCAACTTTCAACTCCTAACCATTTGGGCTCTGCGCTTATTATTATTATGTTGGGTTTTGTGAGTTATACTCGGTTGACACCGGTGGCTGTGTACTATGCGTCTATGCCGGACCAGAGTCAAGGCATAGCAACCAAATCAAAATTAAAATTAAATAAGAGTGTCAGTATCAGTGTCTGTATTCAGGAATTTCTTAACAATATGTCATGTATTCAATATAGTGGCTTTCTGTAGTGTGATGTATGTATTTCTATTCAATTGTAATGTTTCCAGGCTTTTGTATAGTGTGTGTGGTATCACAGCTGTACAGGAGAGAACGACAGGTACTATAAGCACCCTATCCATCCTCCACAGATGCCTTATTTCCTGGGCGAGTTCTGTGTACTTGCTAATTTTTTCAGTGCATGTGTTTTGTACANTTTTTAAATAAAATAATAAGTAATTTAAAATATTAATTTTAAATAATATTGTCATCACTTATAAAAACAAAAAAAATTTATGTCTTTTAATTTGACGATTAGTGAAATTAAAAACGGATCCAAGCGTAACGTTACTAATTGGTGCAAAATCGAATAATATAGCGCAAAAGAACGTTACGTGAGGTATTTTATAAATAAATTGGCTAATTGGCGCAGAGTTAACTGGTAGAATTCTTTCAAATAATGTATACCATAATCTCGTCTTCTCAATAAAATATTATAGAAAAACTAGCAGGTAGGCCCGGCGTTGCTTGGGCAAAAGTAACGATAGCAAAGATTAAGATTATTACATTATAGTCAACCTTACTCGTTTTCACAGAATGCAAGGATTAGGTCCCCCTGTTTCCAGACCAATTAGAGAATTTTTAGATGGGTCTAAAAATATGTTCGATTTCCCGCAAAACAAAAAAAACTGCATCTGCCTCTTGCACGTCGCTTTCTCTTAACAATTCCATTGTTGATGGAAGTGTTAAGCCTTAATCATGTCTCTCTCCCCCGTAGGGAGGAATTTCGAAAAGTCCCTTCTTCGTGTGCGTTCTCGTGACGTACCCTAACTGTGTCCCAAATTTCAACTTTCAACTCCTAACCATTTGGGCTCTGCGCTTATTATTATTATGTTGGGTTTTGTGAGTTATACTCGGTTGACACCGGTGGCTGTGTACTATGCGTCTATGCCGGACCAGAGTCAAGGCATAGCAACCAAATCAAAATTAAAATTAAATAAGAGTGTCAGTATCAGTGTCTGTATTCAGGAATTTCTTAACAATATGTCATGTATTCAATATAGTGGCTTTCTGTAGTGTGATGTATGTATTTCTATTCAATTGTAATGTTTCCAGGCTTTTGTATAGTGTGTGTGGTATCACAGCTGTACAGGAGAGAACGACAGGTACAATAAGCACCCTATCCATCCTCCACAGATGCCTTATTTCCTGGGCGAGTTCTGTGTACTTGCTAATTTTTTCAGTGCATGTGTTTTGTACATTGTGAGTGTTTGGAATGGCTATGTCTATAATGTATGTGATTTTATTGTGTTTGTCAATGAGTGTGATGTTTGGTCTGTTGTGGTAAATTGTTTTATCCGTGGTTACGGCTCTGTCGTAGTACATTTTGTGCGTGTTGTTTTCCAATACTGTCTGTGGAATGTATTTGTAGTATGGTTCGTGAATGTCTAATAATTTGTGTTTGTTTGCAAGTTCTTGGTGTATTATATTTGTTACTTGATTATGTCTGTGTAAATAATCTGTGTGCGCCAAGAGCTTGCATCCAGAAGTAATGTGTTGTATAGTTTCTGGCATGATGTGACATTTTCTGCATGTGTCATTTGTGAGTGTTGTATTTTTGAGTATGTGTTTTCTGTAGTTTTTAGTATTTATGACCTGATCCTGTATGGCAATCATGAATCCTTCCGTCTCTCCAAAGAAACATCCTCGATCTAACCAGCTGTTTTACGCAGTTTTGTCAACAAAATCCTGGGCCAGGTCATAAGGATGCCTGCCATGGAGTGCCTTTTGAACCCACGATTGCTTGACGGTGTCTATGCTTTTTATTTGTTGTGTCATGTCTGTGTGTTGTGAGTGTAAGTTTAATGGTGTGTTATTTGAGTCTGCTAGAGTTACCGCTTTATGTAATTGTGATGTTTCTTGTTTCAAGTAGAAAAACAACTCTCGCAGTGACTGTATTTGTAGTGAAGGTTAACTATGTCAATCAGGCCACGTCCGCCATCTTTACGTGGAAGGGTTAATCTTTCTATAGCGGATTTAGGATGATGTTGTTTATGCTTAGTAAGTGTTGTTCTTGTTTTCCTTTGGAGTTGCTCAAGATCTGTGTGAGTCCAATGTATAACTCCAAAAGAGTATGTAAGTGTTTATATGGACGACATATGTGTTTATTGCTTTAACTGTGTGTTTTGCATTTAACTGTATTCTGAAAATAGCATTTAACCTACTTTAGTATTCTTTAATTAATCTTTGCTTTATTTGTGTATGTTCTGTTAGTTTGGCCTGTTGGAATCCTAAATACTTGTGGAACTCGCCCTCTTCCATGGATTCAATAATTTCTCCATTTCCAAGTGGAAAATCTTCTTTCTTCAGGATTCCTTTTTCTATGTGAAGTATTTTGCATTTGTCTAAGCCAAACTCCATTTGTATGTCCTTGGTGTATGCGTGTGTGATTTGTAGGAGTTGATGAAGTTGTTTTTGTGTGGATGCATAAAGTTTTATGTCGTCCATGTACATGAGATGTGACAGTGTAAACTGTGTTGTTTTTTCATGTCTGATATTGTAGCCATATTGGTGTTGTTTAACATGTTGGATAATGGGTTCAGGGGTAGGCAGAACCAGAGAGGACTCAAGGAATCTCCTTGAAAAATTCCTCTCCTTATGAATATTTGGTTTGTTTGTATGGAAGTGTTACTAACCCTGAGATGTAGTGTTGTTCTCCAGTGCTGCATAGTGTTTTGGAAGAATGCAATGAGTGATGGATATATTTTGTACATGTGTAGAATATGTAGCAGCCAACTGTGTGGAACACTGTCGAATGCTTTTCTGTAGTCTATATATGCCATGTGTGTGTTTCTGTGTTGTTTATGTGCTTGCCGTAATGCTTGCTGTTTATGACTGAATCTATGAGTAACTGTTCTTTGCATCCCCTGTGATTTCTACGGCAACCTTTTTGTTGTTCTGTAAGAATGTCATCTTCTTCGACATGTATATTTTGTGATACAGGATGTCAATAATTTGTAGAGTGTTGGAAGACATGTAATTGGTCTGTATTGTGTGGGATCTGTGGTTTGTTGTTTTTAGGTTTCATGTAGGTGATGCCCTGAGTAAGAAATTTTGGCATGTCTTGTGGATTGATGATGATGTGTGTTAGATGTTTAGCTAGTTCCTGGTGTAGTGATGTAAACTTTTTGTACCAGAAATTGTGAATGTTGTCTACACCAGGT